TTGAGTTTTAATTGAGATCATGAATCGATCAATGTTAGATTACTATTGAAAACTATAACTTTAACCTCGAAATCCAGTACAACCATCTAATGCTTCCAAGATTCTACCGGCAGTCTAACATTGATAAATTCATAATTTCAATCAAAATTCATTAATCTCCACAATCCGATAGATTGAGAAAGATATCTCGAAAGTATAATAAAAATTTTAAGTGATTAAAAATGAAAATAAGAAATATACATAAAATAATAAAATAAAATAAACAAAAATATTCAAACATTGAAAAAGATATAATAAAACTATTTTTATTTATGAATCCATATGCCTTTTTTTATTTCACAATTAACAACACATCAATAATACACACACACACACCTACACATAGACGGAAGTATATTTCATTATAAAGTGTAAATTATATTTATTTTTCCTATATAAACTATAATTTTATAATTTTACATAGAATTAAACATAGACTATGACATGTATTTATTAAGTCAAGCGTATTAAATAGGTTTATTCTTTTTCCTTTAATGAGTTTATTGAAACTGAATCTATAGGCGTGTAGATAGTTTACAAGTGTTTCTGTATGCATGTACATGTGTGTGTGTGTGTGCGATGTTGGAAAATGCATGTTAATAAATATATTTTTAGAAATCTATCAAATAATATAAATAAAACATCTTTATAATTAATAACAACAACAAATAAATATATAGGAAACTGTTGTATCATGTGATGTCTCTATACACTATCTTCTTATACACTAACCCAACTGGTTACTCTACCAAAGTGTCTAAGAGTAAGAAAGGAAGTTTACTACCTTATAAGATTGATCTATTATTGGTGTATGTCTCACTGTTTAGAAACGAAAGCCATTTCTTAGTCAATCACGTGCACTTATCATTTGGCTGATTTTTGAGTGGCCTAATATGTCAGAAACTTTGCTTTTTCGATGATTTCAGATTGTTTTCTGAAAAGAAGTTAATCAAGAATTCTTACATACATATATTATTTAAGTGTAGTGATTGCTACACCTCAGTCAATATTTCGTTGAATTTGTAAATGAAGATCAGTGACTGTTGGTGCAAAAAAATCTATCAGTTGAGCTTATTACTTCTTTATTCTCCTAGAGGATTGAACGTAAATAGTTTAGATCCATAGACGAGACAAAAATTTATGTAGACAGATACTACTGAATGTGAGTAAATTTCAGTGTGACCTTCAAAGCTTTATCCTTCTCATTTAATCAGAATATATTTGTATAAGATTAACAATCGAGTTCTGAAACGGAAGGGACTGAATTGCGTACATGTATTAGCACAGTGATTTGGCATGATTTTTGGATACTTTAAAGTCTACAAATTAGCTTTTTAAATAATAAAACATAAATACATTGTGTTTAGGAACTCATTCATATGAATTATTATCATTCCCTTACTATATATCTTTTATATATAAAAATCAATAAAATTTCTTTGTTTGTTCTTATTCATACTAATGTATCTAAGTTAATTTTAAATGAACCAAGAAGAAAGTCATTATTTATTGATCCTCATCTCCAATCGTTTAAGCGCCTGAAATATCCTTACGATCATGTTATACCATTCCTACTATAAAATTGGATAGTATTCTCTTCAGACGTGCACATTAAGCGACCAACAGATGAGATTATTTTGCATTTTGCTATAAAAGAGAAAACTGACTACTTTGACTTTAATTGGATCGGGACTCCAGTACAATTTGATTGTAAGCAATTATGTATTCCTGACCTAATTTACGATTCAATTAATACAAGGATCAGAAATCAAATAAAAAAACAACCCTTCAAACACAATGTCAAGTTATTTAGTCTACATTTCACTACTAACAAAATTTAGTTAATATTGTGGTGAATGCTACTTATGCTGACATATATAAGTAGCATGTAGCAGCAAACGGAAGTGGAATGCCTGACAGTATATGATTGAATTGGAACGAACAGAAGGGGAAACAAAGAGCAATTGGAATAACGAAAGATCTGGAAGGATCATGACGTATGTAAAAAAAAACAACTGAAGAAAGATGTACAAATAATGTTTTTAATGTATCGTTTTCATATTTTATGAAGGTATATTAAATATAATGATCAATTCCCTTAAAAATAACCGCATATTTTTGAAGATTAACCAATAGAAACTGTTATTAAACCATTGTTTTGATAACTTCACTCCAATGACTTCTTTTATTTAAAAAAATTTACACTTCAAAACATAAATCAACCTTAAAGTTCATTGTGTTTATGTGTGACGTGTATACTACATTATTATTTCAATAATTATAAACAAAATATATATGATGACATCCATCTTTGCTAATAAAAGCTTGTGAATTAAGGCAATATCGAGGCATATGCACAATATGCACATATGACAATAACAGACTGATCAATTGTAGTCTTTAACCTCAATGGGAAGATACAAGCAAAACAATACCAAGTGAAAATATATATGATGATATCATACTTTTGTACCGTTTGCTTTTTTTGCAAAAAGAATCAATAATTAAACTATTTGCAATAAATAATAGTGCATGAGCAATAATTTCTCTTTTATTTTAAAAACATAACAACTGAATAATTGAATATTATTGTAATACAAAATACATTGATTATTATATGTCCGACTATTAAATGAATTACACCAAAGCTTTTACTTTTCATTATATTATCCACAAAAGAAGAAATTAGTCCTTTTAGTTGAGTGTATTAAAATCTACTGTTTAATGTATGAAGTATTGTACACAGTCATGAATGTAAATTATAATGAAACAAAATAGAATAAACAATGAATTATGTTGTTTTGATTAAAAAAACTTTATGAGAATGATTGTTCATGAAGTATAAGAAAATAACTTTTAAGAAAGAAAACTGAATTTGAGTGTTAGTATACATGTGAGGTCTATTTATTATGAATAATTTATTAGTCTTTCTATTATTACACAATTGTCAATATAATAATATACAAATTCGTCAGGAGTAATATTTCTAACGGTAGTTTGCAGATAGATCTTTTAATTGATTTCGGAACAAGAAAAACAAACAAACAAATGTGATACTAATTAACGCTTAATTTAAATACACTGCATATTTTGGAAATAATTCAGTTTGACCAAATCAAGTCTCTATTAAATCTGAACACTGAGTGTTTTCAATCCTAATGTTTTAACAAGCTTCTAGATTCTCCAACAGCATACAAACTGGGAAACACAAACAATTCAGATAATAGAATAACATTGTACGGTTGTCCTTAATTACAGAAAGTATTTTAAAGAAATTCTGTACATGGTTAAGTGGTTTTATGCTAATTATTTGATCAAAGATGATTTTGAAGCATTGTTCGTATGTAATGAAACCATCGAATGAGCAATGCCGGGGTTGAACACAGACCAGGTAGAGATCAGATAATGATATTTGACTGACTGAAATGATTGGGGAATGTGCTCCTCATGCCAAATCACCTCCTATCTTGAGGCATGTATTGACTAGGGTAAGAGTACACTGGGAGAAAAAGACATAGGTAATTAAACTAAACCATTTAGGTACGTACAGACTACCTGGTTTGGGTTTACACGATTAAAGTAGTCAATGATTGGAGTGGTTGGATGTTATGGTCTAGAATCTGTTGCAATGTCGTCAGTACATTCTCTTTTCGTCCTCCTTTTTATCTTGAATTTTAATATCATTGTTTCTAGTCTTTATCAAAATGATTAATAGTACTAATTAGACTTTAAGAAAGGAAACAAGCATTAATCTAGATCCAAAATGATAAATATATCTCACCAAATTAACAAATTCCTATATAACTTTTTAATGAAAACAAACAGATGAAATACACATTAAAATGATAAATAAAACACATAAATAAATGAATCACACAAAAAGTTTTAATCATTATTAACTAGGAAACGGAAGATTATTCAAAAATATATAAAAATTTGCCTAGTTACAATAAAATATGTAGTTTTAAATGCTTAGAAAATTGAGAAAAAAATCACACTTAAACTTTTATTGTAGTCTAGGATATTCACATCTATCAATACTGTTTTGTTTTTTAATGAAACAATAGATTTCTTTCGCTATTCAAATCCAGATAATATGAATATCAATATTCTATCATTAGTATAAACTACATTAGGAGAAGGAAGTTACTAAGATAATTAATATTTTCATATTTCATACGTATAACTGACTGAGACTGTTTGACATAAAGATAGTTTCTCTTGATGGCTTACTAGAATATAAACTAAACCAAAAACAATCAATTCAAGCTTCCAACATATCATCCACACATAATGTTTACTGGGTTTTTTATCAAACAGAACAGAAGATAAATTGGAAAAACATACGCTCAAGTGCATGATTATTGATTATACTAATTCAACCTTCATTTACATGCGATGGTTCCAAATGTATGAGACACAGAAGTACAATTTGTTACTCAATGCCAACATCTACGGAAAAACGTTTCAATGATAAAAAATAATCACTTTCAGAGTTTACATCACGAATTGATCTTAAACAAACTAGAAAAATCTGAACAATAGTTTCATCACAGTAAAGAAAAACTGATCTGTGTGCATCTATAATCATACTAGGGATTGAAACTAGAACATTCAGTTAACATCTAACGGTTTATATGTCTAACTTCATTCGATTCGCGTTACTGAATCATGTCAGTAACACTGAGTAGTAACCACCTAACATCCAACGTGGTTAAGAAAGTACGTTTTATAATTGTCACTTAGTTAATTATTACAAATCATGCACAACAGTACTATCAATAATCGTATCTCACAATCAAATGAAATCTCATCAAAAACAGCATTTATATTTTAAATATTTTAAAAATTTGTCTTTATATTCAAATCATTAGACAAAACACTGAAATAACAATGTTATATTATAAATCACTACACAAAAAAATAAACTATTCATTATTAATTTTTTCTTGATTGCTTACGTGACTTCGTGATATAAAACAATGCATTGCTTGTAGTACATCGGCTGCATGCAACGCTGTATGATACGGATTGAAATTGTGATAAGCTGCTTCTATAGAGCCTAAATTATTTTTTTGGAAGAAAAAAGGTGAATACAAAAATGTTGAATGATAAATTGTCCTTTCTGGATAGTTATAAATATGTATATAAGTTAAAATAAATAAGATGAAATGGGGTTGAAAGTATACTTATGCCTCTTATCTAGTAGCAATACCAAAAATAATGCAAATAAGGAAATTTAGTGTATATTTTATCTGTAATCAACACATTCTACAGAAAGTATCTTGAGTGCTGTTGGAGGTATGAAGGCGGTTAGAACTTTCCGGTTGCTCAAAACGTGGAAGGCTTCTTCTTGAGGTGCATAAAAAAGGAAATTCGGTTAGGATTGGTCTTAGTGACCCAAGAGCATAACGGTAGTACCCAAGAGATAACTGCATAAGGCCGGTCACACACGACCATCTTGTGGGTAACTTTTGTGCTATCTCCGTACTTGTTGAGACCTTACCGACGGAGAAGGACATCCGTGGGATAAGGTGAGGTGTACATTTTTAGGGCCGACCTTTTCTAAACTCACTCGTCCCTTGTGGAAAAGTAGTACCGCAGTTACGCTAATTTTCTGAGGGAACTCTACGTGGTATATATTTGTCTTTATATCTTTTTGCTTTATCAAGTAGCAAAATAACTAGTATAATGTTATAATAACTGCAACACAGTCGGCAGATTTTCAGCAGCTTCAAGGACTAGACAAATATGAAATTGATTACTGCTCAATAAGTAGTCAATGTAAATATTCGACTTCTGTAAGTAGTCATTTAAGGCATAAATGCTTTAATGGTAGAACTTCAGACTGGAAAAATGGATAATACTGACTCAAATCCAACAGAGATAATTAATTTTATCAAGATTATAAATATGTCCTACTAAAAAGTAATAACTAGAAAATGCTTATCTCAACAACAATTTACAATCAACTTAAATGAATTATATTTACATAATGAGTAAATGAGAGAAGTAACGTGATAAAATAATGAAAACTGATCGTTTATTACCTGCCAGATCGAAAAAATAAACTAAACATGTTAATCAAAGGTAACTTATTTGAAAAATTAAATTTGGAATTTACTTTGCCTATTTCTTTTTGTCATTATACAACTTCAATATAGAAAAACATCAATTAAAAGTGTTGTACTACTTTCTCAACCAAATACGATCTCAAATATTTTATTAAGTCTTTCAATAGTAGATCAGTGATTAACTCATACATAACTGTATAGGAGAATGAAGATTGTCTCAACTGAACACAAACAACAATGATGATTACAGTTTTCAAAAATTTAAATGTCAATTAAGATCATGAATCGATCGATATTAGACCGCCAGTGAAAATCTGAAAACACACAAAGGTCATTTCATCCTAGTATGCGACTCACCAGTGGTGCGAATACACAATCGCCCACGCAGAATTCGAACACACAACTGCCAGTCTCGCACGCAAACGCTTAATCTCTACACCACTGAGCCGGCATTCAACACTCCTAATGTCTAACTTCAAACAACAAACCATGTCATGCGAACATCCTACACTGTCTTCTTTCGGTAAATGAATCACACTAGACACAGTTCAACTCCACTGATAACCACCTCTCATTAGAACTACAACAATCACCTCTCTTACTTAGTCAACAGTCAGCACATGACAATCATCAGTGTATAGGGTTGTGGAGATTATCGAGTTCCAATTCATATCGTGGATTGATCAATGTTAGATCACCATTGAAAATCATTCAAAAAAATCAAGCAATTATTCTTAATCAGTGTCAATAATTAACAATCCTTAAAACAGACTAGACCAGTTTATGAATTATACAATGTATATAAGTTTTGATGTTGTTTTGTGACAGCTTCGAATTCTGTTTCACTTATTACTGTTTAGGTAACTAGGTAATAACACTAGCTCTTATAAGAGCAGTTGTGTCTCAACTAATAATCGATAAATAAGTTATACCTAATCGAAATGTATTTACATACATTTAAACAATAACAACAACAACAGCTTCTTGACATAAATACCATTGTACCTGTCAATGAATAAATTATGTTGTTTAAATATGAAATTAAACAATGAACAATTCGGTAATAATAAGAATAATAATCACAGTAATATTGTTGTCGACAACATCAAACAATAATACACTGTCAACTATACAATTGAATTAGGTTTACTATTGGGACAAATTCATTTTCTTGAATATACACATTCAAAAAGTGTTCAGTGAATTTACGAGTTAAACAAGGAATATGAAATAGAGATTTCATCATTATAATTTTATCACATCATAGATTGATTGGCATTAAATGGTAAGAATGCTGAATAAACTATACGATAAAAAACGGAGGCCATTCTACTCATGAAAATTTATTATTTTTCCATTATCTGAATTAGAGAGTGATCAATGAATCAATTGAAACAAAATAACATATGAGTTTTAATGTAATTAATTAAGTATATATTGTCGACATGAAGCCTTACACCTGTGATAATGGGTTACATGAGTTCAAATTACTCAAGAAACACCAGTCTCCTCAAGATTGAAATTATGCTCTATTAATGAGTGCCAAGTAGCATAAAATCTTAGTCCCTAGAATCCTATCAACTGCTTTCAACTACATAAAATGCAGATAACGTCAAGTTATTTAGCCTAATAACTACATTGTCACTTGATCGATATAATTCGCTAAGCAGTGATGACTATACATACATATATAGGATTAATTAATAAATAGTCAATGCTATATATTATTTTTTAAGATTTTCTCAAATGGTGCTCAATTTAAGGAGTCCCGTACTAGAACAAAATGGCTATCCAGTGCTTCCAGGTTTTGAATGGTATTCTAGTTTAGATCAACTCACTAATTCAACATATAACTCAGCAACGAGACTCAGATTTTTATAGTCAACTTTGACTAACACTTTTAAATAAAAAACAATCATACTATGCGATGACTACTTGAAATTTGGACGCTTTCGACTTAAAATAATCATGATAGTGAAAAGGAATGCTTTTAGGCGAATAATAATAAGTTAATCAAGTTTGAACAAAGAAGATTTCCATCAACTACTAGAAAACAATATTCTCTTTTCATAACAAACAGATTTTAACCACTTATACTGTAGTGTAAAACTTTTGAGAAAGTAATTATTTTTAAAACCTTTAACAGTTCCATCAAGTGGATAATTTCACTGAATTATAAGATTATTCCCAGTAAATCATTTGAAAGTCGATGAATTTATAAACCTTGAATACTTAACCTAAGCATAACTAATCTAACATAGCTGTTATTATTTTCAATTTCAATCATTTCAGTTTTGAAATATTTCGTTTGTTTTCCTTTTTGTTTTTTTTTGTAAAAAAAAGAACACTAATATATCATAATCATATTAAAATTTTTGTTTTAATCAGCTGATATTTGAAAATCTTGTCAAATAGAAACTACAAAAATTAAAAAGGTGAAAAATGTAAACATTGAAAAGTTTAAGAAAAACATTGTATATATATTTGTTGGCACACTGACAGTTTTGGTCAACAGCATACATGCGCCTATACATAAAAACACAAAAAATAGTAAGTTATACATTATTTTATCTTTTGCATTCTAATCGTGCTTACACTTTTTTTTCTTTTTTTTTAGTAAAGATATTCATTCGGCTTATAGAAACATTCCTTGAAATGACCTAGATAAACTACAATTTATTTCAACTGGCATTTGTTTTTGGGTCAAATAGAATTGTGCATGAATGAGAGATGAAGAAAAGAGGGTAAAGGAAGAACAAACCATATGATATATATTTATCTAACATAGTTAGAAGTCAAGTATAATTTACTAATAATGAAATGATGTCATCTTTAAAGAAAATAATGCAAAAACAAAGTAATAAAATAATCTTAATACATTTTCTTCCTCAGATTTTCTTTCATTAAAAATGTGTTCTTCTTTGACATACATACAAACACGTACATTTGTTTATTTGCAGAGAATAAGAATAATACGATAAAAAATTGAAAAGAAGAGAAAACTGAAAGGAATCTATTAGTTAAGTCAATTTCGTGAAATACCCGCAAGGTATATTATATATAACTTTTATTATTAATTGCCTTGACCAAATTAAGTTAGAAATCATGGATACTACACCAATATACCTGGTTGTGTATGTATATATGAGCGCTGGAGACTATAAGAAGGAGTTATTTAAGCGTAAGCATTAGAATCTATTAGCAACGCCCAATACATCAAATAAATGTTTGAGAGGATATAAAATGAGAAATCCATTTACACTATTTCCTAAAAACATTGAGTGATTGTAAATAACTAGTAATGGATGATAATAATAGATTAGAGGATATTGAAGCAAAGAATAACAGCATAGATCAAATATAATTCGTGCATACTATGAGGATATTCCTTTCTTTAGATCATTTCATTGCTTAGTATTAAACATTCAGAAAGTGTCATTCGAGAAACTAGCGTTTTCAATTTCAGTGAATGAATAATTTCACAGTTTTTCTTTACATAGATCATGATCATTTAAATGACGGTTGTGAACAAGTTTTTTCTATAAACACATTTTAATTTCTATAATTCCCATCAGAGCCTATTTAAGCCTAAACCATTTAATGCTAGCAGATAATTTTCTATTATCATTGACAACTTAAACAAACAGTGAACTAAATTTTCCTTCAAATAAATAACTAGAATAAATAAGATAGAATGTAAGATTACATTTTCAGAAGTTTGACTAATTCTTTGTGAACAATAACGAGGAAAAAGTGACTACCAAATCCTTGCTAACTTTAATTACATAGAAATAATCTGATCATTGATAAAAAACCATATTAATTTTCAGAAGAAAATCATGCTTGATTAATGATCAAAAAATCAATAAATTATCCGTATTCATAATTGTTTGGTTGATTGATTGATTGATAAACAAGTAATTGACAGTACCATGAAGTGTTGAAAAAATTCCATCAAAGACATCAGAATTTGTAGTTCGGTTTATATTTGACCTGTGGTTTAATTTTTTTTCGAATGTGGAAATGATTGAAATTCATTGGGAAATTATTTAAAATTGTTCAAGTATCTTGTTTTAGTCTGGGACTCTTCAGAAATGACCAATAGTCTACTAAAACTGGCTTAAACCCACAACCATGAGGCCGCTCAGCGAGTCAAATTTCACATTGTCTAACAACTTACTACTTTAATCGATTTTAAAAACAACACAAAGCTCATACAATATCCTCGGAGAACTATTATTTCATTTGTGACTGGCTTAAATCTGTAAGCCACACCCATCTCGAATCAAGTCAATTGTGTGTATACATATTCATTATTTAATCAGGTTAACATCATAATTTGAAAAAGAAACGTTTTTTATCTTTTCGATGCACATTCCATAACCATAATCATTCCATCAACCTTTACATAATAGGCCATTATGTATTGCTTATTTGGTTGTTTTCTATGTAGAATTTTGTCTAAATTATTTCATGCCGCTAATTAATGTACTGATTATGTCGAACACATACTTATCATGTTTAACTATCTGAGTTTAATTATATGTACAATACTTCTAACCCTAAATTTATCGATTCCACATAATGAATACAAGTTGTAGTAAGTGAGATCAAATTAAATATCTACTCAGATGGGTCACCAATTGAATTATTGTCACTGAGCCCGGGCATTCACTGACAAACCTTAGCATTACTTACATATTGTTGCCACTGGAGGCATACAATTCTTAGAAGACAACGATGACGGAACATGGTGAAGTTAAAAACATCTTTACTTTTAAGGGGCCATATTTCCGAATCATACGGCAGAATTGTAGCCATGAATGTATTGTATTCCCGACCTTTTACGACCAGGTTAGAATAATGACAACAAAAAACAAATGGCCTAAATTGGGCTAAGCAGCTATGATTTCATCCGCCACACCATCAAAAGCATTAAAACAACTACCGTGATACACGAACCTTATGACTACTTCCGACGATTTACAACAAAGAGTGAGCATGGGCACATAGCAGTTTCGCAGAAATAATCCGCAAGTCAAATGCTCTATTTATATACCAAACTAACAGACACTATCTTCCAACTGTTCAAGTACAATTTAGGTTACTTGCATATCATGGCACAGTAAGACAATGTCATCCCTATACTCAAGGTCAAAAGGTCTTCCTCCGGGTAACAGTTAAATACCACTACCACGAAGTATTCCCTTCAAAGCCGTTTCTACAAAGTTATTCATCGTAAAACTTAAAATCACCCACTTCCTGGCACTATTTGAAATATAACAAATTTGTAGCTACAGACAATATCATATTATCAGCTTAAACAGATTAATTAAAGTTCAATTCTCAATATCAACAACAAACACATATTAACACCAATAATAGAGATAATAATTCTGATTGAGCTGATGAATCGATCAATGTAAGACCACCATTAAAAATCCGGAAGTGCTGGATGGCCGCTTCGTCCTCGTGTGGGACTCCTTAGCAGTGCGTATCCACGATACCACACACAGGATTCGGACCATCGAGTCACCAGCGAGTCTAGAGGTTAAGCGTTTGCGCACGAAACTGAACATCCTGGACTCGAATCCCCTATGTGGCGTCGTGGGTGTGCTCCGCTGAGTCCCACTCTAGAACGAAACGATCATCCAGTACTTCCAGGTTTTCAGTGATGGTCTAATATTGATCAATTTATGATCTCAATATTCTCCAAAACCCTTTACTCATAATAATTTTCATAAACAGTTCAAAAAATCATGAACACAAATACATATCCACTTACTGAATATTCTAGCCATCATGAAATAGTCCAATTTTAATTTATGAAATAAATCATATTCATTCATTATTTGTAAACCAATATCACGAATGGTATAATCTGAAATTATAATTTTATCGTTAAAAAAAGAAAGAAAAAAGAGGAATAGGATTAAGGACAAATTGCAATAAAATGAAACTGATGATTGTTAGGAATAATAGACAATCAACAATATGACTGTTCATAATCGATGTATGCAACATGAAGTCGTTGACATTGGAAAGAAAAAAATCAGACTCATAATAGAGAGTACTTAGACAGGGTGAATAAGTGAGAATGAAAAATAGTTATTTTTTAATATCATATTTATTTAGTGTGTAATCTAGTAGACAATTAGTGAATGTGATTCTGTGCATTTCCTAATTGCAAGATGTTATTTGACTGATCAACAATCTTCATGTTTTTTCTGTTCTAAAATTAATTGTAAGCATATTTTATACTCCTAAATGAAGTATAAGCATTTTTTTCTAGTTAGTGTTTTTTAGCGAGTTAGTATTCTATGGGATGTGGTCGCTAACCCCATGCCCAACCTTCCTCCTTTATCCGGATTCGGGACCGTCAGTAGCCTCAGAGGAGCACCAAGTGGATCGGCAAAGCAAGAGCAGCATATCTAAAATTGAAGAAAATCTGGAACTCAAAACAAATGTCAACCAACACTAAAGTCTGAATTTTCAATACAAATGTCAAAACAGCTCTACTGTATGAGGCGGAAACCTGGAGAACTACGAAAGCCATCATCCAGACTAACAGCTATCTGCGCAAAATACTTCGGATCCGTTGGTCAGACACTATCAGCAACAACCTACTGTGGGAGAGAACAAACCAGATCTCGGCAGAGGAAGAAACCAGGAAGAAACGCTGGAAGTCGATGGGGAAGACATTGAAGAAAGCACCCAACTGTGTCACAAGGCAAGCCCTCACTTGCAATCCTCAAGGCAAAAGGAGGAGAAGGAAGACAAAAGAACACATTACGCCGAGAAATGGAGACAGACATGAGAAGAATAAACAGCAACCGAATAGAACTAGGAAGGAAGGCCCGGGACAGAGTGGGTTGGAGAATGCTGGTCGATGGCGTATGCTCCTTTGGGAGTAACAAGCCTAAGTATTTTACACATTTTGAACGTTTGATAGATTTAAACACAACGAGACGACTAAGATGGATACAATAACATTAAATCATTAAATTTCAAGGTACCCACGAGCTTTTCTAAACATATTACTTAAAACTGTGCCTGAAGAAATTATAACGTTCATAAGTGCAATGATTAGATATCTACTAGATAATGGACTCAAAGTGGATATCGCAAAGGCGTATAAAACAAATAATAAACAGAGAACACCGCTTTTACTATTCATTTCAAAGCCTATTGTCATGAAATGCTTTCAATCTAACCTTTGTCTACAAAAAAAGTGTGGTAAACCTTCTGTTGTAATGGTGGAGAATTATATTGTTTTAACTTTTGTCTATTAATTAATCTTTTTTTTATTGTATTGTATATTTTGAAAAGTTCAATTAGCATTCAATCACAATGTTTGAATTTCAATCAACTAAAGTGTGTTGTTAAAAACCGTTTGGTTTTCAGTCTGTTTATTATCATTTACAACACCATCCCTTTTCTTAAATAACTTTAAATTGAATAGTATAAATACTAATTAATCTTAACTATTACGTTCAATATAGTATTACCTCCTCTTGTTTCCAATATCTTTTTGTGTAGCTTCAAACTAAGCTTCATTGTATGTTAAACAAACTGTTTAAAGTGGATTAGTCAATGTTAACCTATTCTTCTCATATTTTGTAGCTTGTCATTCTGATTTTATATCTTTATCAACCTAGTGTGGTGTTTGTTGTAATTTCGTATTAATGATACGTTGTAGCTTTGTAATTTATGCAATTTATTCATGTGAATTTTTTTTCAAGTCACATATACATAGATTACTTTGAGTAGTTTTATTCCGCTCTTTTGACTGTAACCTATAGACAATGATTTATGAGTAGGTCAACAAGGTTAATCTGTCAAGTTATCTAATTGTAGGATTAAGAGCATTGGTCAAACCATTAGCAGCCTGAAAGGTCATATTAAGATATATATGTTCAATCGATGATATAAACTATTTTCGAATGTCATCAGTAAAACCAATGGTTCTTTTAAGAGTTCGTTTAATAATTTTGATTTGTTAACAGATTGATTTATGTTGAGCAACACAAATTCACCATGAAATTATAATAATCAATTTATATAGTTAAAAGTTCAATAATTTGTTGTTTAAATAGGAAAAATTACTTTGATAAATAAAAGTCATATTTATTTTACTTATCATGATCTATGCTCAATTTATATGTCGATAAATAATGATGATTGTGGGACTCATCAAAGCTCATCACGAGACAAGCCCTAACTTGGAAACCTGAAGGCAAACAGAGAAGAGGAAGACCGAAGAACACACTGCGCCGAGAATCGGAAGTAGACATGAAAAGAATGAACAGCCACTGGTAAGGATTTCCCAGGACGGAGTTCGATAAAGAATGCTGGTAGGTGGCCTATGCTCCTCCACGAAAGGTAACAGGTGTAACTGATATGTAAGTAAGTGATCAATGATACACAACAGTTCATAACTTATAGTGTTATTTGATATTATTTCGGAATAAAAATTAACTTCACTAAGAGAAAATTAAGTAACTTAAAAACTTGTTCATACACAACTACAATTTAGTCAAATAATTTATCATTTATCCAACTAATACTGTAGGCTAAAAAACCTTAAAAGTGTTTGAACTCAATGAAGATAAGTCAATTTTCTATTCCTGTAAATAATGGTCATTTAAATGTATGCACTAAACAGATTAGATGAACGAATATAAATTATTGTAAATTATTCCATACCCTTTTTTATAATTTCATTTGGAGTCTATTAAAAAACATCGCTGAAATAAACTCATTGTTAACATATCTCAATGAATCTATTCATTATCTTTCTATTATTTCAAGAATTAACAACTCCATATACACAATAATGATTTCATATGGATTAACTCATAAATTCAGTCGATATTATCACAGTTGAATTCACGAGTCGATCTGAGCTAAACCACCATTAAAAACTCGGAAGCACTCGACGGCCATCTCGTCCTAGCATGGGACTACTCGACAGTGCACATTCACGAAGCAGCATGCGGTACTCTAACCGAGGATATTCGCTCTCCACTGTGGTGGCATCCAACGGTGTTAATGTCTAACTTCAAATAATTCATGATCTTGCTCAACCTTTCATCCATTGTCTGTGGTGGATAACTGCCCCACATACAACACGGTTCAATTCTACTGGTCATGGCTCGTCACTAGAACTCCAGGAATTTCATCTTGAAGTTAGTCAATAATGAGCACATAATCATTATCAGTATCAAGATTTGTGAAAACTGTGGTATTTTCACATTTGAATTCGAAGAGTTGATCTATGATAATACTACAATCGTCATAAATTCTCATATAGTCTATATTACTTCAGTTTACAATTTATGATTACATTAGAAAATCATTTCTTAAAATTTCTGAAATAAGATAATTTTTACACTGATTATGTAATCTATTATTAATTGTTAAAAAGAAAAACAACAAACTAACAACCCAACAATAAAAAAATAAAATGAAACAGCCATATAATTATTTCTACTAGATAACAAGAATATAGAAAAACAATCTTAGTGATTAATTTATAGTTACATGATGACAACAATAACAAAACAAACAAAACTATATTAAACTTACTACAAGTTATTCGTTTTAAATGAAAAATGTTAAAATCCCAATTATTTAAATTTTTAATCTGCAAAATAAAACAAAAAAATAAACAGAGAAAATGAAGTTCCACAAAACAAACAAAAAAAAAACAAAGTTGTTTTTAAAAATGGAAAAAAGATGAAAGGAAAGAAAACTTTCCTTACATCAATTTTAATCGTATATAATTAATTATAAATGAACTATTTTGTGTAAAGATGACAAAAAAATAATAAGAAAATAATTTTCAACATAAAATGATATTACTGAAATGGCTGTTTGAAATTAAAGGGTAATGATTAGATAATACGTCATCAGTTTAATATTCCTTAGTATTGCAGATGCTAGAAAATATACGGGCTCAAATATACAATATTCAGTTTTTCTGACATCCACAAGAGATTCGATTACAGAACTGTGATTTATTCTACCACATATTTCAACTTACATTAAGTCAATATATAATATTATTATTTTCAAGCATGGTTGATTGTAAACCGTTTTTCTCTTGAATAGATTGATTGCAACAAACCATGGCTTTCGTTTCAGATGCAGGAATAGCCATTACTGGTGTATATAGAATTGTTATTTTGATATATATCTTATACAGATTTCTATAGATTTGTATTTTCTGAACTGTTTGAGAATGGAGAATATCGGATATTGAATTTTGACCTAGTGTATAAACGTTACTGTACTCATCATCCGACTTCAATAGTCACAATTACTAAGTACTGCACAATTTTAAACCAACAGAAAACATCTGATAATATTCCTTTGTTTACTGCAATTTTACTGTCGATATCAATTAGCAATAAGAAAAAACCTAAAATTACTTAGATTTATCTACAACTGATTTGTCCTCAGTTAGCATAAACCTTTCTTAATTGTTTAAACGAAAATTTTCATTAGATTTTTGGATAAGTATGAATAATTATTAGTATAGGGTTATGAAGATTGTTGAGTTCCATTGAAACTATGAACCGACCAATGTAGGACCATCATTTGAAATCTGGAAGCACTAGACGGGTATTTCATCCTAGTACGAGCACCCCCATTTATGTGCATCAACAACCTCGCACTCTGTGTTAGGTGAAGGTAGTTATCCGCAGAAGACAATGGAAGATGGCTGCGCAATAACATGATTTGATTGAGGTCAAACATTAACATAATTGGGATCTGGCTGAATGGTTTAGAGGTTAGGCGTTCACGCACAGGACGGAATGTTCAAGATTTCATTCCCAGATGAGAGGTTGTGGACAGGCACTGCTGAGGAGTTCTATACTAAAATAAATTGACCGTCAAGTGATTTCAGGTTTTCTATGGCAATCAAACATTGATTGGTTGATGATTTCAATGAAATTTGAACAATATTGAAATGCATTGAAATCCTGGAAATTTATCAAGTGGACAAGCTATACGCTAACTAAAACCCTGACAATACTTTAAATAGTCATGTGTGTAAATGATGAGAACTTATGTGTAATATACTTCGGTTCAAACGTTCGAAATTGGTAGACAAAAGCCGTTTAACTAATCTCTGAGATTGTTAGAATTCATTGGATATATATATATAAAGAAAGAGAGAGAGTAGCTCATATTGTTTTGCCTAAACCATGTTACATAGTCTAATGACCATGTCTTGATGGAATTTTGTCAGAGTTAACTAAGTGAACAGTTCTTACCTTATTTACTTTTACCTACCTGGTGTTAACATATGTTACAGTTAAATTTTGAGATGTATTTATTTATTCTACATGTAATTCTAACAAATTTTTTTAATTGATATGTACTGTCAATAGTTTTCTTCATTGAGATTATGAACCGATCAATGTTGGACCACCAGTGAAAATCTGAAAACACACAAAGGTCATTTCATCCTAGTATGCGACTCACCAGTGGTGCGAATACACAATCACCCACGCAGAATTCGAACACACAACTGCCAGTCTCGCACGCAAACGCTTAATCTCTACACCACTGAGCCGGCATTCAACACTCCTAATGTCTAACTTCAAACAACAAACCATGTCATGCGAACATCCTACACTGTCTTCTTTCGGTAAATGAATCACACTAGACACAGTTCAACTCCACTGATAACCACCTCTCATTAGAACTACAACAATCACCTCTCTTACTTAGTCAACAGTCAGCACATGACAATCATCAGTGTATAGGGTTGTGGAGATTATCGAGTTCCAATTCATATCGTGGATTGATCAATGTTAGATCACCATTGAAAATCATTCAAAAAAATCAAGCAATTATTCTTAATCAGTGTCAATAATTAACAATCCTTAAAACAGACTAGACCAGTTTATGAATTATACAATGTATATAAGTTTTGATGTTGTTTTGTGACAGCTTCGAATTCTGTTTCACTTATTACTGTTTAGGTAACTAGGTAATAACACTAGCTCTTATAAGAGCAGTTGTGTCTCAAAAATTGATTATATCAATGCTAGGACAAAACGGCCATCCAGTACTTCCAGGTTTTCAATGATGGTCCATGTTAGATCGACTCGTGAGTTCAACTATTAAAAGTGTCTACAATCTTCACCAACCCACCTTCTGAAAATAAAAATTCATCTGAAATAGCAGATAAATAAATAGACAATCACTCGATATCACTATTCCAAGGGTTTTTGTACCAAACTATGCAGTATAACCTATGATAACTAAACGTTAATAGTGATATTATTATTCGGCTGTATACGAAACGAGTTACAATCCACTTATGAATAAATTGTTGAGAATAAAATATTTGCACTCATAAAGTACGTAGTCATATGAATAGTAAATAAAGTTGTCACTGGTAATAGTTGATCGTTTTTGACTTCCCGATATACATAAGAAAAAAGGATAAAACTATTAACCTCTATGAAATTTATGGTAATATTTTTTATGAAACTTTATGACATTGTGTTTGATTCATGTGTTACAGAGATTCTTAATAATTAAAGAAACGAATGATTGATTCTTTATTTCTAGTATTCTTATGATAAATATATGGTGTCTGAAAATTATTGTCATGACCTGGATAGTTCAGTGTTAACGTCTTAGATTGTCATACTAGGAAGCTCACATTTGAATCTACGAAGAAACAGCAGTTCACTCAAGATGACATGAACATCTTGGTGGTCAGTATTGGCCAGCATGAGACCTAGGTTTATGATTTCCCGATGACTATCTTTAACACGTAGCATTTCAAAATAGTTCACCCGACATCCAGTCACTTAGGTTAGTGACCGAAAGGCAACTTAATATGTAGAAATATACTTTATCTGATCCCGTATTGTGTAAACATTGCTCCGTTTAAACAATAAAAACTCTGACTATTACCACTGTAATATTATTATGAACTTTAAAAAAAAATATACTAAACAATTTAGTGTTCATGAAAAATTATTTGATACACATAGTTCCCTTTATTATCTTAAATAGAGCAAGAACAAAGATTGGTGCAGAATAATATGAATTCATTTTATTTCGTTAGGTTCTCATCAGCTGCTTACAACCTAAATTATTTGAAAATTCAAATTATTACAGATATTGACATATTTATACATAAGAGTGTGATTAAGGATCAATACATGTGTATGATGATGTAGCGAAGATTCACATAGAGTTAATGAGCTCATAAAATGTTTGATTCGAATAAATAAATAAAGTTTGAGAGGGAAAGTTCTTTAACATTGAAATAGTGATTAGAACTCATGAAAATAGATTAATGGTAATAAAGAAAATATGAATTGAAATCAATCATTTATGTATGATGTAATTTATATTTCAGAAAGAGTTGCAATAATGACGTAATAAATAAATAAATAGGAGCAAATGAATAGAAAGAGTGGGGGTTATTGTTACCAGGGTAAAGAAAGATTTATTACTGTCTCTTTTTGTATACATAGATCTGGTTTTAAGCGTTTGATTGCTAACGCTTCGGCGAATTTCAAAAGGTTCGAGTTTGATTGTTTGTTAATCACCTTGAAAGACTTCAGTATATCAGCTTTATGTCCTGTATCAAGGAGATGTCTTGCGATAGCACTGTTGAATGCGTTCAATCCATTTAACCTTAAACTTTTCGGAATATGTTCTTTGAATCGGACGTAGGCTCTCCTTTCTGTTCTACCAATGTATCTCCTTTGGCAGGTACATGTAAATTTGTATACACAGTTGGTGGTAACATGAAAGGGATACCTGTCGACCTTTGATTGTGTCAAAGAGCATGTTGTTTTGGACAGGACAATCAATTTCGCTGCAGGATAAGTTCTTGTCAGTGCAGTTTTTAATTTCATATTGATTGATCCTGTGACATCGTCACCTTTGAATTGAAGTTTAATAAAAATAGGCTTTTTATTTGCTGTAATTTCTTTCGGTTTTTTAACTTCACATTTGCCGTATTTCTCAATAAATTTCAGCGGGTATCCGTTATTCTTTAAACATTTTTTAACATTCATAACTTCCTCTTCTAGTGTATCGGAAGTACATATTCTTTCTGTTCTGTAAAACAGTGTTTTGACCAGTGCCTTTTTGTAACTGATTGGACAAAAGCTATTGAAATTAAGATAACTGCCATTCCATGTCTTTCTTATAAACTGAACGTTGAACTGTACCATCTTTTCTCCTTTTCATCGCGATAGCGAGAAAATGGAACTTGTTTTCTTTTTCATGTTCCATAGTGAAATGGATATTCGGATGTGCTTCGTTGAAAAACTCTAGCAGATTTATTGCATGTTGTTTATTATTACATACGATGAAGGTCAACAGGTATCCCTTTCATGTTACCACCAACTGTGTATACAAATTTACATGTACCTGCCAAAGGAGATACATTGGTAGAACAGAAAGGAGAGCCTACGTCCGATTCAAAGAACATATTCCGAAAAGTTTAAGGTTAAATGGATTGAACGCATTCAACAGTGCTATCGCAAGACATCTCCTTGATACAGGACATAAAGCTGATATACTGAAGTCTTTCAAGGTGATTAACAAACAATCAAACTCGAACCTTTTGAAATTCGCCGAAGCGTTAGCAATCAAACGCTTAAAACCAGATCTATGTATACAAAAAGAGACAGTAATAAATCTTTCTTTACCCTGGTAACAATAACCCCCACTCTTTCTATTCATTTGCTCCTATTTATTTATTTATTACGTCATTATTGCAACTCTTTCTGAAATATAAATTACATCATACATAAATGATTGATTTCAATTCATATTTTCTTTATTACCATTAATCTATTTTCATGAGTTCTAATCACTATTTCAATGTTAAAGAACTTTCCCTCTCAAACTTTATTTATTTATTCGAATCAAACATTTTATGAGCTCATTAACTCTATGTGAATCTTCGCTACATCATCATACACATGTATTGATCCTTAATCACACTCTTATGTATAAATATGTCAATATCTGTAATAATTTGAATTTTCAAATAATTTAGGTTGTAAGCAGCTGATGAGAACCTAACGAAATAAAATGAATTCATATTATTCTGCACCAATCTTTGTTCTTGCTCTATTTAAAAATTATTTGACTGAATTATTGTCAGGCATTTATTGTGAACTTGTGAAACTAATATATTCTTAACACAGTATATTCGCTCGAACTGAATCCAGATACCTAGTACGATGCAATTCCTTGGTGAAATGTAGGCTTGTCTCTAAACCGAGTATCACTGAGCATAAAATTTTTTAGAATAACGAAAAATCACTTATGAAGTATATTTAAACTTAATTATACTACGTCGACTGTATTATTTTTCTACAAAACAATAAGAAGACGGAGTTTGTTAAAAAATGTGATGTATTTGCCACATACATTTTGAGCAAAAGCGCAAATGCATAGTTTTTTTAGATACACTCCGTCTTCTCATTGTTCTGTTAAAATTTATAAAAGAGACTTTACATTGTTTTTACAACTGTTACACGATAAGAAAAATTAAAATCGGTGATATAATTCTTACTCTATAGATGGTTGAACTCTACCAGTTCCAGCCTTTCACTAAAATTGTAAAATATCAACCATTAAATCTAGTCACGAGTGAGCACGTGACTACTGTTTGGTTGAGCGGGCTAAAAACATTTGTGCGCAATGATAACGTATCACGAATTACAACAAGCAAGCTATTCAGCGATCCAACGGTCCTTCAACTAATATCAGTCTATTACAAAATTTAATTTCAATATTTAATCAATCTTTAAGAATAGCCCAACTAAATTATGAACATTTAATTTCATCATATCCGTAACATTCATACCTTTACATGTCCAACTGGATGATCTATAAAACTAAGGTGAATTTTATCGACCATTCTTTCAGCTGTTTGTGATTTCTTTACGTCTTCTTTTGAATTATCAAGGTTGTACATATTCTTTGAATTTTTATCTTCATACAAATAAAATAATTGTATTGTCCCAGCCATTTGTTCACTTTGTTGACAAGCAAATGAATTAAATGAATTTGATCGATATCGAATACGTCTACATGATGAATTTTTGGTTCTTTGTAAATCTGAATATCAAGGAATAAAAAAGAATTATTTGGATTAGAAATTTGACCATAAAGACAATGATGATATAAAAAACGTTGACAATACTTCGAATTTACTGCACAATGAAGGTAAAATTTGTTTGGATGTTAAGTGGTTGAAATTAATAAAAAGAAAGATTAGTTCAGCGAAGAGTTCTCTTTTCGGCGAATTCATTTTCAAAGCTGTACAATCGCAAATATATATACTTATTTTTACAGGGTGATAATAATACTGATAATAAACTTATGATATACATGGTGACAGTGAGGTTAAATAAACAAAGGTATTAGAAAATTTTTTTAGAAACAAGGAAGGTTTGATAGGTAATGGCTTAGATAGTCATCGGGTAAGAGTAGCGCAGCATGATAAAATAACATAAAATGTTGAAACAGAGATGAAATGTAATCGGAATGATCGTCGAAATAAAAACAAACCGGTTGGGGGTACAAGATTTGAAGGGAAGATGGAAGGTGAAGCAGGTGGCTGTAAAAGAACAAGAGTAATGAGAAAGAGAAAAAAGAGAAAAAAATTTTAATACATTAAGACCACGGTAAAAGAAGAGGTTGTACCAGTCTCTTTTGTACACATAATTCTGGTTTTTCAAAATGTATGGCTATTGCCTCGGCAATGCAAAGGAGATGTAGTCTAATTGTCTTAGGAAGGTTTCTACTTACCTTGTAGATGACTTTGAACGCAGAGTCTGTCTTGATTGAGTGACCTGTGTTCACAAGGTGTTCGATTATAGAACTTCTTATTGAACCGCTGCCTCCTCTTCTTAGCCACGCCGGACAATGTTCTTGAATTCTTTTGGATAAAGTACGCATCGAACGACCTATATACCTAGCTCCACAAGAGCAGGTAAATTGGTAAATGCACATTGAATTGGTCAGATGCGATAATTTATCTTTCAGATTATTGGCGAACAGTGATCGGCTGGAGAATAATATTCGCAATGTTGCTGCGAAAAATGTTCTTTTTAAGGAATCTGAAATTCTCCTCTTTAAGATATGTGCGGCTCTATCGCCTTTGAAGTCGATGTTCATGTATAAAATTTTCTTTTCTACTGCAGTGGTTTGTGGTCTTGGCATTTTCGGTTTCATATTCTTATCAATGAATATAGAAGGATATCCTTTTTGATAAGTATCTCTTTTAAAAAACTCAATTCTTCCTCTACGACCTCAGGGCTACAGATTCTTCGTATTCTTGTGGCGAGAGTGATTATTAAGTTTCTTTTTCGGCTGATGGGAACCCAACTGTGGAAATTTGATAGCTGGCCATTCCATATGGGTTTCCTGTAGATAGATCTTTTTAAAGTACCATCTTGTTTCCTTGTTATATCTACATCAAGGAAGTGAATATTTTGTTTGTTTTCAACTTCAATTGTGAATTTTATTGATGGGTGACAATTATTAAATGTATTTAGGAGATCACTTAAGTTACATTTGTTATCACAAATGATAAAGATATCATCCATATACCTTATATATAAGCGGAGGTTTTCTATAATTCTTTTAAGTTGGTTGTTTTCTAAACTGGCCATGAAGCAATCTGCCAGTAATGGACCAAGTGGGGATCCCATTGCTATACCATCCTTCTGTCTATAAATTACGTCGTTGAAAGTGAACTGTACATTGCAAGTACAACGTAGTAATAATTCCTTCAAATAAACCTCAGGTATCCCAATGTTTATCTCAGTATTGTTTATGTACTTGCAGATAAAATTAATGGTTTCTGTAAGTGGGACATTAGTGAATAATGATTCCACATCCAGAGATAGCATAATTTTGCCACTTACATTCACTTCTTTTATGTGCTCGATAAATTCAAAAGTATCGCGTACAGAATGTTTACAAATGAGTTTTCTAACGGGTTCTAAGAGATTCGCCAACCACTTTGCTATAGGGTGGTAAGGGGATCCAGACATATCGAGAATCGGTCTAAGAGGTAGGCCAGATTTGTGTATTTTTGGCAAACCGTATAATCGCGGTATTATCGATGCTGTTGGTCTTATATGCTCAAATACCTCTTCGTTGATTAACTGCTCTTTTTTCATTTTCTTAAGGACGTCAATTAGTTGCTTTTCTATAATTTCAGTCTTGTTTTTCTCATTGTTGGGTTTTGAGAATTTGGTGTCATCTGATAACAACGTTGCCATTTTTTCAACATAATCCTTGCGATCTAGCAGCACTAAACCAGCACCTTTATCTGGACGTGTTATGATCAAGTCTTTGTTATTTCTAAGTAGTTTAATCTGATTTCTATGTTCTCTTGTTAGTAGACTTTTGCCTGTTACTTTTGTGCTAATATATTGGTTGCAGCTGTCAAGAAGAGTAGATTTGAAACGTTGGAATTCTTGATCAGAGATTGGATTAAGACCATTTGTTTGTTTGATTAAGTTTTCAAATTGAACATGTGTGTTGATTTTGTTAACTTTTTCATTTATGTCGCAGAATTTTATCCCCAAAGATAAGGCTTCTAATTGTACATTAGTCAACGATATTGAAGAATGATTAAACACATATCTCTCAGGGTTGTTAGGAAAGTTGTGCTGTGTTTCTGTAGTTTTTAAACTTTTAGTGAGATCTGATATTAAGTTTTTTGTGCGTTTGTTGATAACTGTGGTAACATAATCGGTGAAAAGATTGTGTTCGTTAGGTGATAATTTATATAATACAGGAGATCTTTGTGAAATGTTGAATTCCAATAACGGAATGCGAGGACGAATAGAGTCAATAACATTTTGTGCATGGCGTTTAAGAGATTTCGAGTTTGGATAAATATGGTTTCTTCGATGAATCTATCAAACCTTCCTTGTTTCTAAAAAATTTTTCTAATACCTTTGTTTATTTAACCTCACTGTCACCATGTATATCATAAGTTTATTATCAGTATTATTATCACCCTGTAAAAATAAGTATATATATTTGCGATTGTACAGCTTTGAAAATGAATTCGCCGAAAAGAGAACTCTTTGCTGAACTAATCTTTGTTTCTTATTTAATGTCATAATGGGTGTATTCCGTTTATTAAGAAATTAATAGACACATCTCTGTATCTAGTTTTTGTGCTAGGCAGTACTGTTACCGGCAAAGTTTACCTTTAATCATGAGGGAAGTGATATTCATAGTTAGAGAGGTTATTAATGAACTCTTAGGGTCAAGACTGACATAGTTATAAAACTTTTAATTACAGTCGGTCGACTTGCTAACGGACCCACGCAAATGATCAAGATTTGGCTTCACATTCTAAGGGAATATACGTACACTGTTGATTAAACGTAACCTTATTTTCTGTGAGAAGTGTATTTATAGTCATAAATGAACTTCGCATGTATTTTTGATTCAGTTAACCAATAAAAGCTTCATACTTATTCACGGTCTTCCGACTCAAGCAGCTGGTCGAAGCATACAAATAAGAAGTGTACATATCAGTAACAGGCCCGGACATTCTCACAGCCGAAGAAAATAAGGATGCTAACGGCAAACCAGGAAATACCAGTTTTGTTTTGAGTATTCAATAGCCACTACATAAAAAGTAAATATATAGTTTAACTGTCGTTTACTTTTTAAAATAATGGTTATCCTTCCGTGAATGACAAAAGCGGTTAATAGCATGACAACGGTGTTATCGGACTTTAATAAACACGAATTCAGGATCGAGGTAATTACGGTTATTTTCCTCGATTATCTAACGTTTTATAATTTACCCCATAAAATTCAATCACTTTATAAAAAATTGTTAATAAGATTAATTTGTGACGAATAAGTCACAACGATTATTGTATGATCCATCAAACTGATTTGTTTCTTTTTTTTAACTAATCAGAGCTTGAGAATGTCTCTAGATGATCGTATAATTTCACAAGCTAACCGTGTATATACTAAAATTTTCCTACGTGATTCTTACATAAACGCTTATATATGTATTGATAAACACTTTCTCCGGCTACTGCCTTGTGTTAAAATTATTCCTTGTTCACAACTTCATTCAATAGAACTAAAGTGAACCAATTGAAAATAAGTTATAAACAGACAAATATGTTGTTTGTGTTCACATCGCTTCATTTATATTTTTGAAAATCAAATAACCAAAACTGTAATTTTCACCATTCAATTACATAATTGTGGACAACTAACAATATTGCTTAATTGTAAGCAGGGATGGATGGTGACTAGCAGTGAAATCCAAGATGCACGTTTCACTCGAGGACTCAAACCCAGTACCTTTCACTTTAAAAACCATCTCTAACGGTACTGGGTTTGAGTCCCGGAGTGAACATCAAGTTTGGGATTCAGGTATATCTGGCTGACGAGTCTCCAACAGGAAGAAACGCCCATCCTGGATTCCATTGATAGCCACCATCCATCTCTACTTATAATACTTGTGACTTATGGCAATAACAAGGCAATCTGTACAGGATGCCCATATACCAATAAAAGATTGATCAATTGCAATCCTAATCATCAATTGGAAGATTCAAACAACCAAGCAAAAATGAATTACTACATAACTGTGCATATATTCATTGATTAGAAGCTAAAACCCGTTGTTTGATTTTTATCAAAAATAACCTCTTAAATAATATAATACTGGACATTTATTGACCAGTAAACAATAATAACTTTGCACAGATGATATCAACACGCCTATACAAGTGTAATGACCGAAAAACAATCAAAATTTTATGTGAACCATCCATTATCTAGCTCAAGAATAATCGAATTTATGAACACAAACACATACATTAATTGCTAACGTATTCAAACACTTTATGCTTACATCTTTCATGTTATCATTAAACGCACTAAATTGACTGGTATAGTATTTATCAGTGTGGGGTTGTGGAGATTGTTAAGTTTTTGATCGAACAATGAGTGTATGATTGAGCAGGTAAAAGATTAATAGACTGATTAGTTGGATATGAGTTAGTATAAGACATGGTAAAAAATAAGAAAGCCAGTTAAGTAAATTTGAAACTTGG